TAGTAAGTGAAATAGACTGATTGTGAGTTAATGTCCATTTGAACAATGCTGTTTTTTTTCATATAAGTCAATCCCACGTAATTCATTCTTCCTGTTTCTCGGCATACGATTTTCTTGTGAGATTCAGTTGGTGATCTGCAGTGAGCTAATTGAACCAAGTTGCTCGGAATATCTAGGTTCTGAGTAAATCCAACTGCGTTATTGTTTGCGATTTAACTAATTGACTTGTATTCCGTGTGTCACCACCCATCAAGAGAACTGCTGTTGCATGCTTCTTGTGTGTGAAAACACTCATCCGTAGCTTATCTGAAAAAAATGTAAAGTCAAATCCTTACCAATCATGATTGCTATTTATTCAGCTATTAAACCTCGAACAACCTACAGCAAATTCCTAAAGTTTTGCAACTACGAGGTGCAGAATTGTAAGCGCGTTTTGTTAAGTAAGTTTTCTTTATCTGGTTGCGAACTGAAATTGAAATTCCAAATGTGGTTTGGCGTTCAGGACACATGGGTCACATTTTATTTCGACGCATAGTAAGTTACACCCGGTTGGAATTTCTCACCACGAGTAATGCAAAGTGCATCAATCAAGATACCTATACATTTGTGTAATCGAACAGTTGATTGAAAAGACTGTTATTGAAAAAAACGGTATATTTAGTTATGGCAAGCTAAAACTGCTACCATGTGAACGTGCAAACACTGTACTGTAATCTTCTCTTCGATGCAACTCGCATTTGACAGGACAATTTTGCGTATTGTGTTTCATTTGATCTGTTCAAATGACCAAATTACGCGAAAATGTCAACAGAATATCACGGGAGCTGCGCGTGTGCTCATGAATGCCAAATATTGCTCCCGTGGCGTTAAACGGGATGTGCCAAGCAAACTCACCATTCCCGATCGTACATGCCAAACGAAACACATACAATGAGAATCATTGTGGACAACATGGACTTCGCGGCGACATCTGCAAGGAATTTAATAGAAATGAAGAAGAGCTTAACAGAGAAAGATTAGTGAGAACATGATCACAGTCCACTACTGCCACTAAATAAATCGCATTTGTTAATGATGCTGATTAAATAACAATGGTTGCAAATTTGGAGAAGCATCTCCAGCAATCACTGAGTAGAAACATATGTACTTATTATTAAAAACCTATTCAACTGATGAAACTGACCGAATTGATAGTGTATTTTGAAGTTAGACTGTTGGGTGTTCGCTGTCCTGGAGCCAGGATAAACGATCACAACGCCTTGTCCACCGGAAGTGAACGTGTTGTTTTGCTCTTTACCACAGATTATCTGTGCTCCGGTTTTGTCTACATTGGCAACCGCGACACACTGGTTCTCCGTTTTCGTCTGCGTCGAAAATAAAACATAAATGTGAGGGCTTAGCTTTGTACCTGAAATATCGCACCATACAACAGAGATATTCCTTCAGGCATTATTGCTGAATCGAAATTACTGCAATAAATAATGGACTACTCTGAGCGAATAAAGTCCTCGAGAAATTACCGGAGCTTATTTCTGTGTTTAGCGGCCAATGAAGTGTTTCACAAAAGGGTTTGAATATTTCAATGAGAAATTCGCTGAGCGAATGTTCCTACGGCACACCATCATGTACGCTTTGTCAATAAGAATTGGAGTGAATAAGTTTGGTTTCACTTTTCAATGACGTGCAACTCCAGCGGAAACAACAGTGATTTGGGATTAGAACACAAGCAGGAGTTGTAACGCGTAGTTTTTCTTGCGAATGTTCATTGACGCGAAACGATATTATTACAATCGGGCTTGAAAACAATGCGTTCAGAGTCGCAAACGGTGAATGAGCACATACCGAGTCCACATTCAAGCTGACACGTATATTCTTCCCACCAGTCGTTTGAATGTTCCATGTACATGTCAGGCCAGCTGGAATAGTGTCTCCGGATTTAGCTACCGTGAATGACTGATCCTGGTTTGTTGGTGGTCCCGGAATCACATTACATTCAGCAGGGTTCACTGTATCCGTATTCTCGTCTTCTGTAAACCGATTAAATAGTATTTTAAACATATTCCATTTTGAATAACATCGACCTGTATTGTCTACAAGTTAAGAACTGATTCAATCACATGCGCATTTTTCTCGTTCAGCCAGTGTTGAAACACAGAGGCGATTTGTGTATGTTAACACCCAGGTGTTAAGCTGGCGCCGCTTCGTAGGGCAAATTGTTTGACCAATTCAAAAACAAATTCGATTGCACTACACTAGTTGCTAAAAAGTTATTTTGGTGAATTTATGCATTCGTTTGATGAGACCAATTCCAGAAAACAAATGCACTTATCCGATAAACCTATGGTTATATTATCTTAGACCCTAATAGTACAAACCCATTCAAAAAATCACCAAAGATTTCCAGAAATGCATATTACAACATGTTACGCATTATCTGTGTCGCTGTATGATAAAAAATGTGAGGTTCGTTATCCCAAAACTCGTCAAAAATACCCATGAATCCGCGTGCACCGTAAAAAGACAATATGTTTGCACAAGATGAGCTATTTCACATTAAGTGCGCGTTGCTTATACATGGAGGAAACTCACCAAGTTGATAATATACCTCGAAATTCTTGATAGATTTATCCGGTTCTGTTGGACCTTCAAACTCCACAGTGACATCCTTTCCGAGATCGCCAGTAAACTTGTTGTTTCCCTCTTCAACACAAATTTTTTTTGCTGCCGTGTTGTCTGCAGCATCTTTGTTATAAACTGTGATACACTGCCCCTTCGTTTCGGCCTGTCAATGGAAAAAACATTGAGTATGCAGAGTTACAAAGTTTAGTGTCTAAGTCAATCGCTGCAGCGTAATCACTAGTTGGAAGTGAAACAAACGCAGCAGTGAAATTTAGCAGTACTTGGAGATTTCAATGACGAACGAAGTACAAAAAGAAGCGAGGCGTAACAAATTTCACCACGTTGGTCGATGACTTGTTTAAATATAACAAGAATGAACGCACATAACGAGAAGATAGCCCATAGGGGTGCGAGTTACACATAGATGATGACTTATAGTGTAGTACCATATAAGAAATTGATCACCTATAAAAATGCATTGGGAGGTAATCATCTGGAAAATTTTCAGTCAATATTATAAACTTAACTTTCGAAAGATTAGCACAAATGAATATTCGTGTGTTTATTATATACTTTTCAGTCAAATGTCAGAAACAGGTTTAAACAAACCATTCAAGGCTAACATACCGATGTGGCTGTCAACGAAACTAGGATCTTTTTTCCAGCAGATCCTTTCAAGTCCCAAGCGCAGGCCATTCCCGAAAAAAGTGTATCGTGAGCACTTATTCCAAATGATTGCATATTTTCAGTCGGATCTGGTACCGTTGGTGTGCACAGCACGTTGTTCACTAATAAATTGATATACGATTGAGAACAAGCAATGATAATATCTAATACGTCTCACACGGAAACTTTGTTTTTGTGTTTCATTACCGCAAATATAACTCACCCAACTCATAATGAATTGTTATGTCTTTAAGGGGTCCGCTGATGGGTGTTTTGGGGACGATTCCAATGTACACTTTCGACTTTCTTGAAACGTCTTTTGAATCATCGCACAGTTCATCAAATGAGGGAGCAGATGGTTCGGATAGTACAATACAATTAGTGTTTCCGTTCTAGAAAATTTGCTTATAAAAAAACGTTCACCACATTACATCATCCGAAACTGCATCGGAGCTTGCCACCCTGGTCAACTGAATCTCTCTCTTCGAGGTTGTGCTGATATTCCATTTACAAACTTCTGTTCTCGTCTTAGGCAGAATCAGTGTTGCCTTGACCGAATTTGCGACATGATCGGCCTTGCCACAGATCTTTTCGTTTGCATCTATATATTTTGATTTGTACATTAAAATGGTACCTAATGTTATGCGACCAACCTGCATTCACATGAACACTCACTATTGTAATGAATGCAATCAAAATTCGTAACATGTTTTTTCCTGATGCACACTGTACCATATCATTTTATGCATATATATATATATGCTAAGATCTGGGTGTGCTTGAAAAGAGCTCAACGATTTGCACAAATAATGTTCACGTGATTCGTGCGATTGAGATTTGCAGTGGCGTAGTTCACCGCCTGACCATTTCCTCCTAAACGCACAAATATTTGACTGCAAACCGCACACCATTTAAAGCGATGACACAGCAGAACGAGTATTTGCATTTAGAACACATTCTGAGGAGAACAATATAAGGTGAGTAATCGTTCACTTTATGTTTGCACAACGCATTCTGCGATCTGTGCTTCCGGTGTTTTCAGTTGTCACTTTGAACCAGGGTATAATGAGCTTTGGCTGGAAAGAATATATTTGTTGTTATCCATCAGGTGATACTATTTAGGTGAATGTATATATGCTAATAGCGCAGGAATTATTGGTTTTGTCATAATGTGCTAATTTTTCCAATAACACTATTATAACATTGTGTGTAGTTTCCCGAAGGGAAGTATATCAACATGAAGACGATGTGGCGATGAGCTTTCCGGTCTCGCCTAGTCTCGCGGACCCGTTTGATATTCTCATACTAATCAGTTAGACGTACTTTGTGCAGAAAAAGGGATCAAACATAGCAGGTTTCATTTCCCCTGAGGCTAGCTTACGAGCGCATTTAGACCACATTTCATCAATTTGTTCAGAGAACGGTTACTCGGGTAGTTTTAACAGAAGCATTCAGTCGGACACGAGAGTAGAGATCAGAAGTATATGAAGTATTTGTGGAGAAGGACTGCATTAGTCTTCCTTTAGAAGCTCAAAGATATCAGCCTGAACGTCCAGGATAGCTTGTAAAAGTGGTAAAAATGCATCTATAAAACAGTTCACGAAACGTTCACCTCTCCTAGACCCACAAAGCAACACATATCACCGTTCGTCAACCCACACAGTTTGCATGTGGCAGATCGTACATTGGCAGAACAAATACGCAGCAGGGTTTGGCGACGTTCTACCGAGCCACAGGTATGAATGTTCGTTCTCCAAGTTGATCCCTCAAATCAAAACACACGATTCAACTGTCAACATCAAAAAGAATTGCATAATAGCATGAAGAACCAACTCCATTGTTCAAGACCCGATACAGCATGCAAATCCGCATTGGCATTAATCGAGAAATCCAAGTTTGTTAACAGCTTTCTTCAAACATCAGCCTATTGGTGAATGTGAGCAAATCGGTTTCATCCCCTACAATGCGTTGTTTCATCAATTAGGAAAAATACGATTTATGCCAACCTGCTGATGCACTGCATGTTAGGTGACTAAAAAGCATCTCACGTGAGATATTTTGTTAGCCGCAGCTTTATCGCCGTTAGCGAACTATAAATACGAGTGACTGCACATTATAACAACAGTAAGTCAGAGAGAGATTGTGGGAGTAATTTTTTTGTTTTCACTATAAAATTCACATGTAAAAAATCGCGAAAACTGGTACACAATTCGTTATTATCCATTGGAAAGTCATTTTCCAACGACGTCTTTCTAGAAAGCATATCCCTCTCTCGAAATAACGAGAGTTTGTCTGTGCCATGCAACTCCAGTTTCATCAGCGATAGAACGTCACCGGCAACTAAAACTTCATACAGCATAAATCACTTGTTTATTCAAGCAACATTAACAGAAGCTATTTCAAATTAAGATATGTATTCAGCATTTATGAGGCAAGCTATTTATAATGTCACGAATATGTGAGATAAATCATGTCGGCGGCTCGTGATGCATTCTTTTCATAATGAATTTGCGGTCGTTTTTCTTTTTTCTGAACAGAGCGCTTTGCTGGTTGAGACGTCAGGCTAAAGAGTGAGTATTTACACAATAGTATTAGGATGCCATATGAGGTTTACCTCTTATCACTTGTCTCCTAATTCTATATCTCGTAGTGAGACGTCCGTACATGCAACGAGTAACGTCAGAAAACTGGCGTGCAAGCTGTTTTTGTATGATATCATGGGTTTATTTCTGGTGAATACAAAATCCATTCGGTAAATTCCATCGTGATCAACGTTTGCCTGGGTTCCATTGGCGGCTTCTGTTACATAATGGGAACCAGTTGCAAACACAATTGTAAGAAGGTACTACATTTTCACCCAGATTGAAATCAGGTGAACATTGTTCAGTCAAAACAAACGGGAGTCTATTGGAGGAAATTAAATTGAATTCACCGAGCCACGAATGTTATTCATTTGACGTATGTATTTAGTCCTAAACTAAGTATATATGACATGAATCATTCTAGAAAATCCGACCGCATAATTCCTATAAAACACACATCTTAACAGAAAATGTTTGCCAAATTTCCATTATTCGTTCGTTGACAGTGACTGTGGGTGCTATTGGCAAGTCGATTCTGTTCGGACTTCGGTCCAGTAGAAAAATATAATAACTTTCATCACCCACTGTGGGTTCTGGCATAAATTCCTTAGTAGTCTAGACACAATTAAGCATTCCTCAAGTGCACGAAACTTCAATGTCAACCACGATATTATGGCACTCGTCACGTCACACCGATTAATTCAAGCCTCACTAGTACTAGCATCAGTAACTTACGTGAGCTGGAAATCTTTTTCAGTCATTAGCATATAATTTGTGTCAATGCATTACCGGTTGCGTGGTGCGACAGAATTCGCGCGTTTGTGTCGGCGATTCAATACTTCACACAGAGGTCTGTGTAACAAAAACCTGTGAAACAAGAATTGTTTTGCAATAATTTCGTCACAAGTGTTCAACGCTGTCCAGGCTTCACTCCAGTCTACTGTGATTGCTACGTCAAGTTGAGTATGCGGTTCAAACAACCCGGCAGAAGAATACGCAGTGGCTACACGGCCGCACAAGACACAATCTTGGAAGTGGAACTACACAAATGTTGTCGAAAACAAGGGAGATAGAAAACGACTTACGAGGGAGTGTAATTCAATAGCAATGTGTTCTAGGTTACCAGGAGATTGAGTTTGTTAAGGCATGGAGCAGACCGGTAGGTGCATGTACGACGAATTGCAAGAGAGGGCGCACAGCTTATAAGATCTGTTTGAAAAGATTGTATTTGCTGGCGACTTCTTCGATAACCACAATCATAAATTTGTATGCTGTGAAAGGATAAACTGACAGGTGACTCAATCAAAAATCGAGAGCATACAATTAGGCAGAAATTATGGGTTCACGGGGCGGAAGCTGGACGGAGCACTCATGTCCTCAAGTGACATCAAATGATAATGTTTTCCAAATAGTGAAAACATTTCTGTGGACCAACACGAAATTTCGGCTAAATAGCATACTTTTAACTTTAACTCATCGGATGCATAATGATGGCATCATTTCGTTAGTTTATTGATGAATAGGACTTCAGGAGATATGCATAACGGTTCATTTTGAGAAGTGAGAATATCATGTTTACTCATTTGGAGATGAGGTTGTGTGTACCGGAAAAAAAAACAATAAAAGAAAGGTCAGTTTTCGGTACAACAGTTTTGGTACGTGTTATGCCGTTGGAAAACAATATAGTTATCGCCATTATCATGACAATACGATTGTTTGTCTCAATGTAATCCAAACGATGTTTTATGAAAGCTTTCCTATCCTTTGTTATCCATTGAGCACCTTGGTTTTGGATCTTGTACGTTTGGGTCAAGTCAAGTCAATAGCAGGTACAAACAAATTCCATTTGAAGATGATTTTCCAAAGATCGTTACCACAGACGTGCAGTGCAGCGAGACCAAATGCCATCACAGCGTATACATTATTCTCTCTGTTGAGCAGCATATACCGTGGCAAAAGTACGGATGTCATTAATGGGCACAAACTGGAAGCATAAGGGTGGCAAAAGGCCCTGAATTCAATCTGAGAGTCCATCACAATGAGTTAATCTGAGTACTCTTGATTGCAATTACGTTTCCTGCAGTAAGTGCCACAGCTTTTCGTGAATTTTGTGTGACCGATTTTTTCCTTTAAGTATAGAGGAAACGGTCAAAACGGCATGATCGGAAGATTCCAGACGGAAGTAGGTAGATTTGGCGGAAAATTTTTGCATTTTTGACAGAACTCGTGTTCAACTGAGTACTTGGTTTTTTTGGAAACTAATTATGCGTGCCAAATCAAGAACAATCTAGAACCTGAATCCGGCACAAATGAAGTCACCAGACGCATCGAGTTCAATAAACCAATCAGCTATATCACCAAGTACTCAGCTCTATTTTATGCGATTTTGACTGATTTGGACCATACCACACGGCGCACAAAACCCGTTACGCCTAGTGATTTCCAGGA